GTGGGCTACCTATGAACAACTGGGAGAAATTTCCCATTTGATCTTATATAAAGATTTATCTTTATCTTAATTATCTTAGAATATGCAGTTGCTGTGAACTCTCTGAGCATTATCCAGCTCAAAAATTCTGAACAGCTTCTTTCAGAATGCACAGGTGGAAAAGTCAATATTTGATGGAGGTCTAGATTTGTCGTTTGGCTTCCTCTTTAAATCCTTTGCAGCTTTTATTGTCTGTTGACCTGCTTCAAAATCAATATTAATCCTTGTTTTCTTACATTGTTTTGGTGGGGGGGTTGTGGAGGGGGTAACATCTCCATAATTCGTAAGGAATTCTTTTTGATGTTCAAATTATCATGAGTACATTTTTACAGCTGGAAAATGACTTAATTATTAGCTCTGCTGCCCCAGGCTGTAGAACCTATGTACTGACCTAAGCTGATAGATGCATTAATTGCTGTCTCTTTTCTAGTCTTTCTAATACTGATGTTAATTCTAACTTTCTGAATCTTTTAATTTCTGGCAATGTCTCTTTTTTACCATGCTGCTCTGTGGATTATAAAGGTGGGGATATTAGCAAAGTATATCCATCCCTTTTAAGTTATTCAGTGCACAACCACAACACCTCAAATGAATTAGATTACTGTAGCACTTACAGACAACATTTAGCTGTTCCAAACGATGCAAGAAGGGCAATCAGCTACAAGAATGGCTGGCAAATGACTCGTCAAAATGCAGAAGTCTGGAGCAGCACAGAAGAAACTGCTTCTCCAAAGAGAAAATCTCGTAGCTGTGATGACCTGTTAACAGATGATCGCGATAGCTTTCCCGATGCACAGGCCAAGTCTGAAAGCATGGGCTCTCTGTTATGTGAGGAGGACTCCAAAGAAGTTTGCTCAATGAACTGGGCCTCCCCGTATGTTCCTGAGGGCCGTGGTAGTAGCAGGTCAAGAGTTCGTCACAGATCTGCACATGATGCCCCAGGTTTCCTAAAAATGTACAAAAAGATGCACCGCATCAATCGCAAGGACTTGATGAATTCTGAGGTTATTTGTTCTGTGAAGTCCAGAATACTGCAGTATGAAAAAGAACAGCACAAAGGTATTCTTCAAGGCTGGAGGGAGTCTTCTACTGAAGAGGTGCCCAGAGACATGGTGCCAACCAGAATATCTGAATTTGAAAAATTAATTCAGAAGTCAAAATCAATGCCGAACCTAGGTGATGAAATGTTGTCAACTGTTACACTAGCGCCTCCTAAAAATGGCTTATGTCCAAAGAGGCGATTTTCTATCGAATCCTTGCTGGAAGAAGAAAATCAAGGCAGACATCCCTCTCAGGTACAACGGAGCTACAAGTCTAAAACCCTGGTGCCAATTCATATTGAAGTGACCAGTGATGAGCCACAACGATCGCATATGGATTTTTCAGACAGTGATCAAGATGGAATGGTTTCCGACCTCAGTGACTTTATCCAGATAGAGGGTTCATCCTTCTGTAGCGAAAGTGACTTTGACCACTTTTCCTTCACATCATCTGAAAGCTTTTATGGATCAGGCCATCACCACCACCACCACCACCACCACCACCACAGGCACCTCATCAGCTCCTGCAAAGGCCGATGCCCAGCATCCTACACCCGCTTCACCACCATGCTGAAACATGAAAGGGCTAAACAAGAAACCACTGAAGATCCAAGGAGACAGGAAGCAGAATCTGGCCTCTCTAAGATAGCATTCCTAGTCAGTCCAGTGCCTTTTCGGAGGAAAAAAAGTGCAGCTCCTAAAAAACAAACTGAAAAGAAAAAATGCAAGTCATCGGTATTTGAAGCACTAGATTCTGCACTTAAAGACATCTGCGACCAAATTAAAGCTGAAAAAAGAAGGGGAAGCTTGCCCGACAATAGTATATTACACAGACTTATTACTGAGCTGCTTCCAGACATTCCAGAAAGGAATTCATCTCTTAAAGCTCTGAAAAAGAGTCCCATGCACCAGCCTTTTCATCCACTGCCTCAAGATGGTGCTATCCATTGCCCATTGTACCAGAATGATTGTGGAAGATTACCTCTTAGTGCCTCTTTTCCAGACATGGACGCAACTAACAACAATGATAGTGCACTGTGTTTCCAAGGTGGATTAACTTTCTTCCTCTATCCTTGTGATATACTTATCCAACCTTACTCCCTGTACTTCCCACCCTTTCTCATTCTATTTTTATTTGTGTCGTCTGTAAGAAGCTTTCATCCCACAAAATTCTTAATGTAGGATGTCATTTTTACATAGGTGATGAGGATAGATAAATTTTCTGTCTATTCACAAAATACAGTAATCTGGATAACTGGAGTAACGGTGAATTTCAACTAATAGATTATTAGTGCTATAAATTACAATGGCGTTATTAAATTAAGCAATGTGGGTTTTTTCCCCAAGAAAAAGACCTTACAGAAAGTGAATGCATGCATCATAAGATGCTGGTCGAACAGAAAACAATATGCAGATGGCCCTTCCTTTATTATTTAAAAAAAAAAATCTGCATCTAAAACATGTTGTACTGTGTAGTTTTGTTACATGTAAGTGATAAAAATGCTGTTAATTCTGCCCATATCACAGAAAGTTGATTCGGTTTTCTTATGAAAATACACTAATTCCGCTGCTTTATATTACTTTTTGTGAATAGACCCTAAGGTCATTTTAGGGAGTTTCCATTTCCACTGTTCAAACAATACAATTCCCAATTTCTGTGGCAGCAAAACTAGTTCTTCTCCTAGAATTTTAATGTATCTATGAAGTTTTGAGAAATTCCTGTCCTCTTAGCAGGGAAATTCTCAATAATCAAAACTTGAATGAAACTGTCAGAATGAGTATAACTTTTTAAAAAGTCTGTCTTGACAGTAATCTGGTTTTAAAGTTACTATTTTGAGTTGTTCATTGCTCTGCTGCTCTTTTTTTCTCAAAAAAATTGCTTGAGCTTAAAATGTTTTTAAAGTTTAACCTTGCAATATTAAAAGAAACAAACTAGATTCATAGGCGGAGTGCACAAAGGGGTATCCCAGATGATTTAGATTAATGTCTTTGGCAAGTCTGTCATTTATTTCTCTTTTTAAATGGTAGCATTTCTGTGCTAAAGAATTCTGCTTCTGGACATACAGTCCGCTGTGACAGAGCATCTTTGAGAATTTAATGACATTACAAAGCTATTCTTGAAAGCACAAATGGGTGTAAGAGAGAATGTCTTTACTGTATCAATTATGCAATATTTGATCAGGCCCATCTTACTTATCTTTAATCTCACATCTTTTTCTGTAACTTTTGCAAGTACCACACTACTAAATATGTATTTCAAGAGAAATCAGAATTGAAGTTGTCACCATCTCCTCTAAACTAGTTAAAAGACATATTGAGAACATATTGTTGTCTGTAAGAAGCTTTCATCCCACAAAATTCTTAATGTAGGATGTCATTTTTACATAGGAGATGCGGATAGATAAATTTTCTGTCTATTCACAAAATACTATAAAATATACTATACAGCTATAAAATGCAGTTCAGAATTGAATTAGTCATACTTGAGGCCTGATCATGATTAATCCTGGCAGGCAGTACTACACCATGAGACTGAAGTTGGAAATTGCACTGGTCACATATCACAGTTGCGAAATGAGAATTTTCCAGTCCTTGAAAAGAAGGAAATCCACAGTGCAGAGTAAACATGGATTCCTAATAGCTTCTGCAGCTATGAAGGAGCCTGGCATGAGGAAAGTGGTACACTCTGTCAACACTAATATCCCTAAAGTAGGATGGAGAATGAGTACAGCAGAATATTCCATTGACTTTCAGCAGCAGCAGTCATGGCTGAGCTCTACTTCTAATGAAGTTTCATGTTTTGTTGGATCTGTGCGTGTCTCTTACAGCCACCATCCACACGGGGACCCCAAGGTCATAGCAAAAACCACTGAAAACTACCAATATTGACTGCAGAAGGAGCTGTATAGAAATAAAGGAAATTGTTCTTCCTAAAGTTGCTGCGTTTTCTCTCCTTCCCTCCCATGTCCTTCTCTTTCTGCTAGGGTTTAAAGAAAAAATTAATAGAAGTGTTTGGAGGCATTATATCTTTAGGTTTATGCAGTGAGCATAGATCCTCATTCACAGACACATGCCATATCAAGAAAGCTGTCCAGAACTGGGACTGTGATATACTTTTTGGTGAGGACGTGCTTGCAGCCAATGACATAAATAATACAATTATCTCATTTTTTGCCTCCACTGTTTTTAACAATAGCCTCAAGTTTTTGTGGCTTAGCCAACAGCCCAATGGAGACCATTTACATCTTTCTTCTGTAAGACCCCAACATAATGGATAAGATGCTTTCAGTTCCTTTTTTTCCACTTTAGAACTTTAGAAATGTATGGGCTTGGTAAGAACAGATTGTGTGAATGAAGTCAAAGGAAGACAATCAGTGATATGTCTCCACTAGCAGGTATCACTGTGGCAGTGGGAGACTAAAACAGTAAATCTCAGAAGTCAAGAGGCAGTTCATTTCATGCTCTGGTCTGAAATAATTCCGTTATATTTTCGTTTCACATTGGCAACTTGCAGAGCTATAAAGAGTGTAAGATTTTGATTTTATTTTTTATTAAAACATGACAAGATGTATTCACCATCCTATATATATACCATCCTATAATAAACATTGATACCAAACTGTGCTTTAGAGAAAATCTGCCACATAGATTGGTGAGTAATGATTTGTACTCTATCTCTTAAAATAGAGTTGTTTTTATGAAATAACATGCTTTTAAATTCCCTTGTGCTGCCTAACAAGTGCCCCTGGTAAAGTAGAAATGCATCTTAGATCACTTAGGAGGAACCAAGTTTTCTTCGCTATTTTCTCATTGAAGCATGCCTTAATCACGTTTTGTGCACGTAATTATGTGTTGATATTGTTGGCATTCCGAAACAGTTCCTTGCAACCCGATGAAGTCCTGATACTGCTGTCATGTCTTCCACTTGGTCCAGTAGGGGTGCATCCCTTCGTACAGTAAGGCATAATTTTGCTCTCTCAATGCTCTATAAAATATTCTTCTGCTGTGGATCAGAGGGACAGCCTTTGCTTGAGAGTCAGTATCTTTTTTTTCTTTAAAGGTGCACTTTAGCCATCATATCATGTGCTTTTCTTTCTAGTAAAGGTAAAATAATAGATTTCAATATCTCTTCACCCCCCTAAATGAAACCAAGCAGCATCACAGATTTGAATGGTTTTGTTTAATTTACCATAGTTTCACATAATTTCTGTTTTCAGTAGACCAGGAGTCTCCTGGAAGCTATTCTTCTGCTTTCACTGATGTGGGACGATGTACTCCAAGAGAAAGAAGAGGAACTACAGACAAAGAGGTAGTGAAACAACAATAGATAATGCAGCAATATCCATATGGAAAATTGGTAACATATCCGAGACAAGATTTGTGTTGGTTTTAAGACACTGTAATGATACAGACCAAAGGAACAGTTACTTATCATATCATCAGATGGGACAGCATCCTTCTTTTTCATTAAGGAAATAGGTATTTCAAGAAATTAAAAGAATATCAAGCTTTGTAAGATAAGCTGTATCTTCAATTTATGTTTAAATAGATATGGACATAAGTTTACTAGTCATTGATAGGCTCCGTCAAAGTTGACCGGAGTGGGTGTTTGGGACAGAGAAGAATAGCAGATGTGACTGGGGAAAGACTCTTTTGAGAACCGGAGCATTACACAAAGAAACCGCCTCAGTAGTTTCAAAACTGATACAAAGAACATCAGTATTTCACCATTATTTTTGTTTAGAAAAAGCAAAACCACTGCTGTTAGTGTGTTAGACAAAACCACTTATCCTAAGAGCAATCTCTAATTTCTGTAACAGTTGGTGACTGTAATTATATACTGATTGCTTATATCAATGCTTTGGAAGAGGAAATGGAAGCAGGCACACAACCTTTAAAGTAACACAAAGTATCACTGAAAAGTATACACAAAAACATGGAGTATATCATTCAGTATTTTAAGAATATTTCTAGATCTAGAACTATGAATGCTCTCCAAACAGGCTTCAGGGATTTTATTCAAACATGAAGTAAGTACATTTATATTAACCAACATCTGCAGACCATAGATTGTTAACTTCTTCCATTGATTTTTATTAAAATATTGCACAAAATAATGGCAGCATGAGAGAGTACTGTATTTTAATTGCTAATATTTATGTTTTTGTTCTGGGCCATCTACCTTGTTAAACAGTGGTACAGGTTAGAACTGGTTACAGGATCTGAATTTAGATCCACTTACACCCCACTGACATGGTTGTATTGCTGCAATTCGATTAAGAGTCTGATTTCAAAAAAAGACTGCTCATTACAAAATAAAGGTTAAAAAAGTTCTGGAAGCCATATTGTGTGTTCCTTTTAAAGAATTTTGTCACATTGAAAGTCATCTTTCAATTTGAAAATACGTAAAATACTTATACTACAAGCCATTCTTAAGATTGCTGTAATTTAAAAAGATGAAAGAAGAAAGGCTTCTCTATTTCCAGTATGTTTTGTACATTTCAAAGTATTTTGTATTTAATCAGCTCCACTGTTCTTTTAATATTATCCCCCTTCTTCCATTATTTGCTTTAGTAGTTACAGCACCAGCTGTACCAAAATCAGGGAAGAGTGAAAAGGGCTTAGCTACAGTTGATGACATGAATATCCCCTCCCATCTAAAAGATTATTTTTAACAACAGCAGGAAACAGGAAAATGCTTTTACATTTAGGCTATCTTATTTGAAGGAGACCTGTAATGGAAAATTGTATTAGTATCATAAAATGCAAGTTGACAGAATCCCTGTAATAACTTTGGGGACTTTTTTATTATAGCAAAGAAAATGCTTTAGGTATGCTAAATTTGCTAGCCTTTAGATGACAAGAAGGGAGAACCCAGTCGAGCACATCTGGCCTGGAAGAAAGGTAAAATGCAAAACTTACAAGCGTCCCTTTTTATTCCTCTTATAAAAAGATCTGCACCCTTACATCATTACAAATAGTATCTCTCAGAAATAACGTAATCAGCTCATTCTAGTCACTAGTATATCCTAGAGAGAGATTTTTAAAAATGTAGCAATCTCATCTGCGCAAGTACTTGCAGAGAAAGGCTAAATCACTTTACCAAATATTCTCACATAATACTGCTAACCACTTCTTGCACCTTCCTCTGAAGTATCTCGTGTTGGGTATCCATCAGAGGCAGACACTAGATGAGTGAGGCTCTTGGGTCGGATCACAGTTCGTGTTTTCAGCACGGCTTTGAAAATAGTGAAAGTATAAGCGTCAAACTCACAGGTGAGGAGAGGTAGGGTTGTTTTACAGTTTTATTTTTGAAACAATATTGACCTTACAGATACTTGGTGATAAAACTTGATAAATATATGAAAGGAATGATATGATGTGATTGCCTGTGATAGCAAGAGAGCTGCACAGATGACTTAGGAGATCACTTCCAGTCCTGCATTTCTCAGACTTTCTTAAAACTATGAATGTGATGATAGAAAATTTAAAATATTCCCAACCTTTTCCAGCTGTCAGAGTAATTTTTCCTTTATATAAAATGTGATACAGTGTTCGCAGTTGAAATTAGCCTAAAGATAACAAGTTCAACAGAAGAGGCATCTAAAGTATTAGAGAGTATTAAGCATGTGAATTCCCATTGTACCTAGAGATCTAGTTGCCTACAAGTCACACTGGCATTTAGTTAACTTTTTTTTTTTTACTTTTGTAGTTCTCTTAAACATAATATTGCAACGCAGTCTGTATTAAAATTTAGCTACTATTTCTATTTTTAAAATACTAAGTCCCAAACACCTAACTGCCTTAAAAAAAGGAAGCTGTGTATTTAATTGCCTATTACTGCAAGAACCACTGTAAGGCACACGTCCTTTTCTTTTTCGATCTTGGTCACCTTTTTAAAAGCTGAAACACGTTCACCATATAGTAATACTACCTGAATGTATTAATCACTTTGCCTACTTTTCAGAAACTGCCAGCTAGAGCTGTGTATGACTTTAAAGCTCAGACTTCTAAGTAAGTACTAGACTTTTGTTCATTTAAGAATTCATAATTCAAGAAAACTCGTTCTAGCACTTGTGGCAGCTAACTGCTGTTCTAGCCAGTTTCAACAGCAAATGTCATGGAAGCAGAGGACCCTGCTTGCTGTCACAGTAGTCTCTGCATTAGTAAACTGTGTGAGAAGTTATTCTGTAATAAAAATGTCTTAAATTATTATATTCTCCATTGTATTTGTTTGAACACATGAATGGTTGTGCAGCTTCAGCCTTCTAGAGCATGGGTCCCGAGGGTCACCCACCGAACGCTCTTCATTTGTTGTGAATCGTATTTAGGTTACACAAGATACAGTGCTTAAAATACTGATGTAGATAGTGTGCTTATCAAAATTCTGTATAATGCTTCAGCATCTTCCTGTCTGCCTTAACATACATAGGCTCTCTGCAGGATGTGACATGTCCCATACCAAAACAAACCACAGTGGTCCAGAAGAAAAACAAAATCAGGAAACACTGTTCTAGGATATGAGAGAGTCAAAGTAGGGTGCCTATATTAAATGTTCTGATGATCCAGGGCATTTAAACGATCTTTAGATACGGCCAAACTTTGCCACTAGAATTACATTAGCTGCGTCTGGTAGAAAACTCACAACTTGAATTATCAGAACAGCAGATTAACTCTTGAAAAACAAAATGGATGATACAGCAAAGAACTCCAGATGATGTTCTCAATGATGTGGATAATTCCCTTTTTTGGTATCCAACATTAAGTATATCGCATGCCCTGAGTATCAGAAATGGTGAGAACATAATCCTGTGTTCTTCATGCTTCTGAACAGATGTCTTGAAAGAAAAATGCGTAGAGCAGAAGCACACCAAGCTGTGCTGCTGCAAAAAAGGTAGTAATAGGCCATAGAGACATCGGATATATTCTATAGGTTCCCCTACTGATTTCACAAAGAACACCAAATACCCCTCGGATGCCTGTCATAAAAGCAGCATCTAAACAGGCGATCCAAAAGACATCATACTTGCATGCAGACCCTATACTAAGTGCTCTGGTAATAACTAGCAAACTTCCTTGAAATCACAGTGTAAAACAGGCCTGTGTAACTCACAGATAGTACCTGGGATTCATAAATGTGAATCATTTCATTTTATATGGTATAATCAACTGGTAAATGTACCACAGCTGTGACACTTTTTCTTTAAATGTTTAGTTGCTACATTCTGTTTCAGTTCCAAACTGTAAAGATCTCAGAAACTATGCAGGTTGAGGAGTTACATGTAAAACTGTAAACATCTGGTCTAAATAAATTTGTTACAGAGAGCTGTCCTTTAAGAAAGGAGATACTGTCTATATCCTCAGGAAAATTGATCAAAACTGGTATGAGGGTGAGCACCATGGAAGAGTTGGAATATTCCCTATTTCTTATGTCGAGGTTTGTTCTCTGTTTTAATTCCTTTAATTAGTTTGAGCAATAGGTCCACAAACTGCATGGGAATGATGAAAATCTGTGGTTTTTCTTTTTCCCTAGAAACTTTCTCCCCCAGAAAAAGCACAGCCTGCCAGGCCACCTCCCCCTGCACAGATTGGAGAGATTGGAGAAGCTATTGCCAAATATAATTTCAGTGCAGACACAAATGTGGAGTTATCGCTTAGAAAGGTACAGTTTAGAACTATCTTTATCAAAATACCATTATAGTGTCTACTGCTACACAGAATTAATATATAGGTAAATACTACACTTTGGTGCACTCTGCATTCAATATTTGCTATGCACAAAGCAATGTAATGGTAGGAAACTACTAACATGATAGCTTATTGGTTTGCAGTCTTCCCCTGCTACCTGCAAATAGTTTAAATATGTTGTGCATGTAAACTGTATTGTGGTAGATTAGCATATGCAAACATCTGCTAACTGCCCACCTAAATTTCTAGTTTTCACTTCAATTATCCATCCCTGTTTTTTAATAATTATTTGTTGCTGTCACAATTATCATGGTAAGGTTTTTAATATAGAAGAAATAGAAAAACCCAGAAAATAGAAAAATATGGAAAAAAAGGCTCACAGACATTTTTGTGAATGTACCACCTGCTCTTGCAAATAATTCATTTAATAACAGTCTGCTTTTTATAACATTCTCTTATCTTTCTGTGCACATCCTGGTGGTTATGCTTTATTGCACATGAGCAAAATAAATGTTTAATTTCTGAGGTTTGTCAGACACTAGAATATTACCGGTGTAGAGAAACTTTATTACTGCAGATATTCTGTACTTAGTTGTAAGTAGTACGTACTTCTTATCCACTGGAAAGTTCTGCCTCTTACTTTTTTTTTTTTTAAAGAATTCGAGTTCATAGAATTTATTCAGTGGTTTGTTTTTCTTTTGAAATAAGAGTAAGGATACAGTTTTTTGATGCTGGCCTAGATACTTACAATGTATCTGCTGATAACTCATTTTCATAATGCATTTCAGGGAGACAGAGTAATTCTTCTTAAGCGAGTTGATCAAAACTGGTATGAAGGTAAAATACCAGGAACCAACAGACAAGGCATCTTCCCTGTTTCCTATGTAGAAGTCATCAAAAAGAATGCATCAAAAAGTGTCGATGACTACCCTGATCCCCCGATACCCCAAAGCTATTCTAGTGACAGAATACACCATTTAAGTTCAACTAAGGTAAGGATTTTTTTTTTTCTTTGCTATCACCCCTAGAGTGGGTTTAGGACTTGTAATTTTTTTGTTAACAGAAGATAATGCATAATTCATGCATTAAGTACACTACATTTTCTTTCCTGCGTAGGTAAAATTGCATTACTGACTTGTTATTAAAGTATTTTAATAGCCAAGCGTGTGTCTTACGTTCTGCCAGGATTTTTGCTCTTTTCTTCATCAGCTATTAATATTGAGCGTAGGGCCAGGCAAAATTTGGGCAGAAGAATCAAGCCGACAGAACAAAATTTATTTGGGAATCTTAAACAGAATTTGAACATTAAGGATATGTCTAGCAGACTTTTTGTAGTGCGATGTGAAGACATTGCCATAACACAGCTGTCCTAAACGCCTGCAGTCCCATAAGCGTGCAAAGGGCAAGAGAGGGCAGTTTGTGTGGGGACACAGCTTGCCAAGACCAGAGCTAACGATTCTGTCCTATACCCTTCCTCCTTTTGCCATTCACACTCTAGAAAGAGGCTGCTGGTACAATGGAGGTTCTTTGGCGTGGTATGACAACAGTGACAGTATTGTTTCATTTAGTGGTGAGGCAAATGTCATGACATTGTCAACGAGCTTGGATTCAGACCTTTATAGTTGTAATTTTTCACACCAAATGTTTGTCGTAGGTTCTGAATTCTTTTCCTTCCTAGTCTATATAACCACCACAAATCATACTACGTGATGTTGCAAAAAGATTCCTGTGTTCTAATTTGTCACTCACTTGTGAGATTTTGCAGTCACCTGTGTGGGAAACGTAACCTCTTTGGCAGTGATAGAAACTAAGAAAGTTTCTGCATGCAAACTGTGATTAGCATTAATGTATTATCGATGATTTTGAACACTCAAGATGGAAACTTTTCTAAATCTTCCTCTTTACTTTTGTTGTTTATCTCTTCAGCATGCGTGGTGGGTTTTGTGTGTAATTATAAACTTCTTATCCTGCTGTTCTCTATTTATTTCGGTTGGTTTTGCCCCCTTTTCTACTTTCATATACTTGCATACCGGTGCTTATTTAGATGCTTCAACTTTGAGATAAGTTCCACATTTATTTGCAGCTTTGGGGACAGCTACCAAAAGATGTCATTTATAGACAACAGTGGCCTCTGAAAATACTGTTTATGACTAAACAATATTAGCTGTTTTTGGATTAGCTGCTAGAACAGGTCTTGTCTGGTTTTTCAGAATGTGTCACAACAGAGAACTAGCTCCTCTCTCTTCCATTCCAACAAAACTGTTGAATTGAAGTAGCATCAAATTCTGTAGCTGCAGACTGAAGTATTCATAAGCTAGGGCCCCTATTATTACAGGAATCCAGACGTTCCTGAAGGCAAGTCAAGCGTATGAGGCAACCTAGGTGCTCCATATTACAGAGCTGTCTCTCTGTATTTGGAGATGCCTCTCTCCCCATTTTCTATGGAGCAGGCTTGTCTCTAAGGCATCCTGCAGCTAAAGCTGGTGTTTGTGTAACTACTATAACCCTTGTTGAGCACAGGTGATGCTTCAGAGTGTTTACATTCAGATTACAAAACTGTCCTGCCACTATTATTAAATTAGTTATTATTAAATTAGTTCTGTAGGAGAGGAAAAGGGAAGAAGCTTTCTTTGTAACATAGGAGACTTTTGCAATCATCTGGTTCTAGCACAAAAAAAAAAAGAGAGCTTTTACTGATGCTCTTAAACAGACATCTCGTTTCTTAATTCAACTGTATTCAGAAATGGCAATACCATGTAAGAAGACATCTTGTTCCTGACTACCTAGAAGGACTTTAGCCGTCCTGAAGGTGTTCTGGAGTTTACCACAATTACAGATACCACTTTTCCTATTCCTTTGGGGGTTTTTAGCACATATCACTCCCTGTTGCTGGAGCAATTGCACTAAACTTCTCTGGCCTAATGGCAATAAAAATAAATAAGCAATACAAGTCACGAGCAAGCTTTGCTCTCCTTAACTTGTCCTAGACCATCTGTATCTTTAGCTCTAGTGCAGCCTGTAGCCACGGGAAACTAAAAATGGCAATGTCTCCTCGGCAGTAGAGGCCCTTGTTCAAGAGG